TAATTCTTGAAGAGACTTTTGTCCCCAGATTTTTTTTTGCTGGGTGAAATATAGCAATTTTCAGTTTATCCGGAAAGACACCACTAGTGAAGGAGGAGTTACAAATGTGTAGGAAAACTGGTAGTAATAAGTGGGCTACTTTCTTAATGATGCTCATTGGTACAGTATACAGTATGTCTTCGGCTGCTGCTGCATCTTTGGACATTTTGCTGTCTGTTTTGCAGGTAGGCTCTTGATTCCTCATGGTGATCAGGGATGCTCTCTACAAGATTTTTGCCAACATTGATAAATTAGTCATTAAAGTGGTTGGTAATGAGGGAGAGCTCCGAGTGGGAGGCCGAAGGCTGAGCGTTCCTGTTCTGAATAGAATTTATGATATTCCAGATTTTCTTACTGTTGCCTGATGCTGACTGGAGCTTATTTGTATAATAACTACGTTAGGCATTTCTAATTGCTTGAGTTACTCTATTTCTGATACTTCGGTAAGCATCACCGAAAGTTATAGGTCTTTTTGCAAATTTCCTTTGGAGTTTGTATTTTTCTTTTAAAATTGCCTTGATTTCACTTGTGATATAGGGTTTGGTAAATGGATACAGTTTTCACTGACTTAGTCTTGAGGGGGAAGCATTTATCATAGGAAGCTTTGAAGATGCAAGAGAACTTGCAGAAGTTCACGTTAGGGTTGTCGGAGGCATAGACAAGATCCCAGTTAGCATTCAGTAAGTTGTTTTCTACTCGGCCTTTGAGGTCATGTGGCTGTTTTATACATGGCAAAAACTGGTAACAGTGGCACAGGTGGCAGTTACTCTAGTGGGTTTGGTTATAGTGTTGAAGAAGAGCTTAGAATAATAGGTTGCAAGAAGGTGTCGGTTTCTGATTTTAATAGATCAAGGTTGAAATCTCCTGTAAGGTAGAAAAGTTTCCTCTTTGAACTTATGATAGAGATAAGCTCCGAAAATTTATCAAGAAAGTTCCTTACATTAGTGTGGGGTCTTCTGTAGATTACTCCTACTAGGATATTTCGTGTGTCGTTACGTAATTCAATGAAAACACTCTCCCTGTACTCCTCCTGAACCTTTAAATAATCTCTTACAGAAGTGTTAACTTGATATCAACATATAGGGCGACACCACCACTGTGTCGTGACGTGTTGACGCAGTGTCTATTATAATTAGGAATGTTATACAAATGTTCAATATCGTTAGTGAGTTTGGTCTCAGAACCCAGGTACATCAAATTTGTGGGCAATAGAAGATAAACACTGATCTAAAAAGGTATCTAGATGAAGGGGAATACTGCTGATGTTATGGCTAATTAAGGAGAAGGAATGAGGTAGAAGAAGACTAGAACTACACTGTGGAGAGTCAGGAAGGTAAGAGGTACAGTTGGGGTTGGTGTAACCCAGTGAGTTTTGTAGAAAGGCATCAGGATCAACATGAGGGAGTATTGTGTCGACACCATGGGTAAAGGGGGTGTAACACATACGGTCTAGCACATCTAAGGGAACAACACTAGCATCATCAGTGTAGGAATATTGGTACTGATTAAGGAACAGCAAAAACTCAGGGTCACTGAGGTGTGAAAATGGAATATGAAAGAAAGTTATAATAGTGGAGGGTAACGTACTCACAAGTGCTACAACCAACAGAATTAAGATGACTGTTGAGGGAGGTTTCCAGATTGAGTCATTTGGTTCTGAGGGTCGCTGGTTTCCACCTTAGAGGGTGGACGTGTACCCTAGTTGGCCGACAGGGGTGGAAACTCCTCAGGTGATAGAGGCAGTGGTTAGTCCCAAAACAAACTTGACCAAACAGGCAGCCATAATGGGAGGATCCAATAATGAATGAAGGATTATGAATATGATCTTAGCGCCACAACAGTCTAGGTCATATGGATCGGACAAAGACCATCGGAGGATCGGACAAAGACCATCGGAGGATCGGACAAAGACTATCAGAGAATCGGACAAAGACCATCAGCGGAGCGGACACAGACCATCAGATAATCGGACAAAACCAGCGGATCGGACAAAGACCATCAGAGAATCGGACAAAGACCATCAGGAGATCGGACAAAGGCCATCAGGAGATCGGACAAAGACCACCAGAGGATCGGACAAAGACCATCAGAGGATCGGACTCTGACCATCAGAGGATCGGACAAAGACGATCATAGGATCGGACAAAGACCATTAGAAGAGCGGACAAAGATGATCTGAAGACCAGACAAAGATTTCAGACTACTTCCCTCGTCATGAGTGTCTCTAAATTTGGTGGCCTGAGTCAGGGTAGGAAAAAATATTATTTTTAAAATAATTGCTTCATAACAAGGAAGCGCAGGTAACAGTGTTATTATTACTGGGATTACTAACCTCCAAAAACAGTTCTAAGAAAGTATCAACACCTAGTGTTAGGAGTCGGGGAACATTTACAGGGAATTTACCTTCATGATGACGTCAGTAAGTTCGCCCATACAAGGAGAGTGTGTTAGTTCATCTATATATCTAAAACACAGAAGTAGGTCTGTGTGTTTGTGTGTCCGCACGAGAATCTTGGAAACTACTTTACCGATCTGTAGTGATGTTGGATGGTGTTATATGATAATAATAATAATAATAATAATTAACGGTTTATTGAAAGAGCTTGGCAGCCAGAAGGCTGAAAATATACAGTTACATATTTGGGGAATGGGTTACGAGTTACAAATAATATACAAGTAACATAAGTGACACAAATAAGACATATAATAACTTAGATGGGGATCAGCTCAAACTACAGTTCATTTCAACATAGTGACAGTGTAAGGAGCAGTGTTTACCGGGAGTGAATACACTGATTTATTACATGTTATTGATAATTTTTACAATGGTTGGGACTGGGCTGTTCTTATAGCGATCGGTTCGTGCACGGATGGGCTGGATGCGGTTGTGGTGTCGAACAGCAATTCTCGGACAGGGGATGTCAGGTGGTAGTAGGAGCCGGTGTCGGGGATGGTGTAGAAGCTTCTTACCAAATTTGCAGATAAGGTCGTGGTGATGGTCAGTGAGAGTCGAAAGGGTCAGTGTGTTGAGCGCTTCTTGATATGTGGAGTAGGAAGAGGAGAGAATAATTTTGCATGCCCTCTTTTGCACTTTTTCTAGGTGTTTACGTTGTGTGGCATTTAGGGAGGAAGACCAGGTGGGGGAGGCATAGGTGAGCTTGGGAAGTATGAATGTTGTGTATACACTGAGGAGCTCGGGTGCAGGAACTCCGAGGGACTTGAGTCGGCGGAGCAGGTGGAGACGGAAACTGGAGGCTTTGACAACTTCACTGACGTGTGGTTTCCAATTTAGTTTGTTGTCTATGGTGACGCCGCGGAGCTTCGTGGAATCTACAACCTGGAGTGTGTTCGGACCTAGGGTAATGGAAGGAGGTGGGACAATGTCGGAGGAGAGGTTGATGTGCATAACCATGGTCTTGGTATGGTTGATGGTGACATGGTTGTTGGTGGCCCAGTATTGGAGACTGTTCAATAAATCCTGAAGGGCGGTATAGTTGGGAGCAGAATTGTTGACGCTGATCCCAATGGTGGAGTCGTCGACATATTTCCAGCGAGCAGGGGTTTCTCTTAGGGCATCATTGATGAGCATAAGGAAGCAGAGTGGTCCCATCTTGGTGCCTTGGGGGACGCCACAGGTGAGTGAAGATGGATGTTGTTATATGTAGTGATGATGGGTGATGTTATATGTAGTGATGATGGATGTTGTTATATGTAGTGGTGATGGATGATGATGTTATATGTAGTGATGATGGATGGTGTTATATGTAGTGGTGATGGATGATGATGTTATATGTAGTGATGATGGATGGTGTTATATGTAGTGATGATGGATGGTGTTATATGTAGTGATGATGGGTGGTGTTATATGAAGTGATGATGGGTGGTGTTATATGTAGTGATGATGGATGGTGTTATATGTAGTGGTGATGATGATGATGTTATATGTAGTGATGATGGATGTTGTTATATGTAGTGATGATGGATGGTGTATATGTAGTGATGATGGATGGTGTTATATGTAGTATTGGTGGATGGTGTTATATGTATTGATGATTGAACCAATAAAATAATAACAGTTTAATGCTAAAATATATACTTTGCCGTTGTAGTGAAAAACATGGTGGAACTTACATACACCGTTAATGAACTATTGATGGAAGAAGAAGTTTTGGGGTTTGAACAGTGAGACAATGCGCAGCCTCCCAGAGGGTGGCGTCCTACCGTGGCATAGCGAAATAGCCGCTCGGAGGGCGGCATTTCTCCTGGAAGACATAAAAGGCAGCGGGCAAGAGGAACTCCTCAGTCTGGCTGGTGGCGGCGCGACGCTGGGTACATACACACTCACACACTGGTTCCATTTTCGCTGTTTGAGCTAAGAATACTGTCAACTGTAAACAGGTAAGGTCAGTTTTATCGTATATATATATATATATATATATATATATATATATATATATATATATATATTTATACATATAAATAAATATATATATATATATATATATATATATATATATATATATATATATATATATATATATATATATATTTCATATAGATCACAATGAAAACGTGGATAAGATAAATCTTGATAAAATCACACACGGGAAAAGGGAAACAGCAGAGCCTGTAACTTTCGTCTTTATTCTACCTTCAGAGGCAACTGAAGATGTGGCGAATGAACAGCAGAACTTTCTATTCCCTTTTCAAATATTATCAAAAATTTATATATATATATATATATATATATATATATATATATATATATATATATATATATATATATATATATATACATATATAGAGAAATTACTGTAGGTATTTGTATTGGAGGGGCTTAAGAGTAGTGTGTGTTGGTTGTTGTGAGTCAGGTGTAGCAGCTGAGTGTTGATGGCCATGAATGTTAGGTGTTGGTAGGTGAGTGTGGTGGGTAGGTGAAGGGTCATATTGAGTCGTAGTATGTTGGTGGGTGGAGGCTGGGGGTCTAGTAGGGGGTGGACTGTACTTCCTCCCCGACCAACAGTTTCTACGCAGCGGAGGAGAAATAAAGTGACTGGTGGTGTGTTGGATGAAGGTCAGCTAACGCATATACAGTACGTATAGTAGGTGTCCAAACTCAATGTTCTTATTTTTATACTTTATCTACCTGGACACAGTGAGCTGACTCATATACTTTATCTACCTGGACACAGTGAGTTGACTCATATACTATATCTACCTGGACACAGTGAGCTGACTCATATACTTTATCTACCTGGACACAGTGAGCTGACTCATATACTTTATCTACCTGGACACAGTGAGCTGACTCATATACTTTATCTACCTGGACACAGTGAACTGACTCATATACTTTATCTACCTGGATACAGTGAGTTACTCATATACTTTATCTACCTGGACACAGTGAGCTGACTCATATACTTTATCTACCTGGACACAGTGAACTGACTCATATACTTTATCTACCTGGACACAGTGAGTTGACTCATATACTTTATCTACCTGAGACACAGTGAGTGACTCATATACTTTATCTACCTGGACACAGTGAGCTGACTCATATACTTTATCTACCTGGACACAGTGAACTGACTCATATACTTTATCTACCTGGACACAGTGAGCTGACTCATATACTTTATCTACCTGGACACAGTGAGCTGACTCATATACTTTGTCTACCTGGACACAGTGAGACTGACTCATATACTTTATCTACCTGGACACAGTGAGCGACTCATATACTTTGTCTACCTGGACACAGTGAGTTGACTCATATGCTTTATCTGCCTGGACACAGTGAGTTGACTCATATACTTTATCTTCCTGGACACAGTGAGCTGACTCATATACTTTATCTTCCTGGACACAGTGAGCTGACTCATATACTTTATCTTCCTGGACACAGTGAGCTGACTCATATACTTTATCTTCCTGGACACAATGAGCTGACTCATATACTTTATCTACCTGGACACAGTGAACTGACTCATATACTTTATCTACCTGGATGCAGTGAGTTGACTCATATACTTTATCTACCTGGACACAGTGAGCTGACTCATATACTTTATCTACCTGGACACAGTGAACTGACTCATATACTTTATCTACCTGGACACAGTGAGCTGACTCATATACTTTATCTACCTGGACACAGTGAAGGAGATGGCTCGCTATCTGAACTACTTGGCGTGGCCCTGGCTGTTGGCTCTCTGCTTCTCGCTCACAGTTGCACAATATGGTAAGTATTTATGACTAGTTCTCTCTATTATTTCTATACTGTTATTTATACTTGTTAAGAACTGTCATGAGAATATCTACTTGATGTTATACGAGTGTCTTGGTAAATAAGATATTGTCATGTAGTAATATGAAGAAGACTCTGTTATCGGGGCTGGTGTCAGGAAAATCTTCATAATATTTTGGAGAGTGGATAAATCTCTCCTCCGTCTTCATTCGCAGGGAACTATGGAGGTGGTGGTGGTGGAGGCGATAGACAGATTGGACGCCCGCCTCATATTGACAATGAACAAGGTTACATTGGTGGTGATAATGCTCCTAGACCAGGCTCGGTAATATTAACAACTCACATACATTATCTTGTTATTAGTATTTATACCAAACAATTTGTTTAATAAGAACAGGTTTTTATTTATGCAAACTATTTCCGCTTTAGAATTCTTTAATAATTATCGACTGCAAAGTGACATTCTGTGATAGGTGAATACTGTGTCACCGAATACGACCTTAACGCAACATATTGTAGACAAATCACTAAAAAAAAATGTTTATGGCAGATTTTATACATATGCAGTACACAGACACACACACACACACACACATATATATATATATATATATATATATATATATATATATATATATATATATATATATATATATATATATATATATATATATATATATATATATATATATATATATATATATATATATCATTAGCCCACAAAGCGCTACTCTGCTCACTTAGTGGCACGGGCAGTCCCCTGGGAGGTTCACGGCGCGATAAGCTCGATGAACAGGCCTTGCGTGAAATATAACAAAGTCTAGGATTGCTTTTAGTGTCCTAGTGGTTTAGAGGTAGTGTTCCCGGTCACACATATAAGATCGTGTGTTCGAGTCCTGGCGGGGTTAGGTTGTTGATTTTACACACATTTATTTACATATATATATATATATATATATATATATATATATATATATATATATATATATATATATATATATATATATATATATATATATATATATATATATATATATATATATGCTGATAACCACAAAGAAAGAAGAAAACACGAAGTTCCCAAGCGCTTTCGTGTAATTCACATCTTCAGGGGTGGGTACAGACTAAGGAGAAGTACAAAACAAGGTGTATATATACAGAGGAGGGTGAGATCAGGTCCACAATGGTCAGGTATTAGGTAATGACCCTACTAATCTTTAAATAGCACCGCAATGGTCGGTAGTCAGGTCAGAGGGTAAGGTGACCCAACCTTCTCACCTGGTTACAAATCTTCTTAATTACAAAATTGTCCAGTTTGTACATGCCATTACTCAAATTCATGTTGAATGCTTCGGTATGTTTAATAAGACTAGATTCTATGATGTTCCTACTATCAATTGAATTACAAGGTAATATTGAGGAGGCATTATCCCAGTCAATGCAATGCTTGTTATCCCTCAAATGAACAAACAGAGCATTGGATTCCTGGCCTGTCCTAACACTGTATTTATGTTGTTTAAGTCTAGTTACAAGATCTTTACCTGTCTGGCCTAAGTAAAACATATTACATTCCTTACAAGGAACTTTATAAATGCAGCCACTTGTATTGTTGGGGGAGTTCTTGATTAACATTTGTTTAACAGTGCATGAGTTTATAAATGCCTCATTGACGTTCCAGGCTTTTAGTTGTAAAGGAATTTGAGAGAAATTTTTGTGAAATGGTAATACTAAGAGATTCTTATGGTCATGGGTGGGCTTGGGATCAGTTCTATAAAAAGATTTCTTAGTAATGTTCAGGCATTTGTCTATGAAAGATCTTGGGTATTTAAGGTGTTGTATATGCATCTATTGTAATGACCACGGTCTTACACGTCAGTTAGCGCCAAAAATCAAATGATTCATATTACGCTTAATAGCCCACAAAACATGTAACTCGGCTTTCGTTTGAGTCCTCCATCTGAGGAGTCCGTTTTCTCATCACTTCAAGACACCTCAGTCCTCCGTTATCCCATTTTCTCTGACTTACTGAAACCAACCTCTCTATAAAATGAATTTGAGTGTGAGAGAGAACACCCTTGTTTTGAGTCAACTTAGATATGTCTGTTTACAGTTGGAACATTCAAGATCCATTGTGAGTGGGGTAGAATGCTTCAACTGTCCTTATCGTTAGTAGAACGTGTCACGTAAGTGAGTGTCGAGTTTGCCAGCTAGAGTGGCGTATTTTATGTCGTCCGTGGGGGTATCCATGAGTTTCTGATCGCGCCTGAAGTTATATCATTTTGTCGCCCCGACATCAGAGAATCTGATGTTTATAGTTTAATTAGTGTCAGTTGTCTATTTGAGAAAGTCATTAATCTCCTGAACTATTCTGTCAACTGGTATAATCTCCAAGATCTAGCGCCTCCCCGTGAATAGCCCCTTGTTCGCCTCAGACCTAAGCTTGCAGAATTAATGTTATCGACGTGTATATTCCACCTTTTCCTGGCAAGCTCAACCTCTGATTAGATTATATGAATAGACATAGGAAATTACCCTGATCAAGAACACCGGAGTTCATAACTAAGTATACAGTGATCCAAAATGATAGAGAAGTTATGTTGTTGGTAAGATCGACCCTTCTGGTATGAATATGGAGGCCCAAGCTGCTCGCGAGTGCACGTATATACCTCGACACGAGGGAGAATCACGCATTCGTGACTTCCTCAACGTCTCTCCAGGTATGTTAACGTGTGTTCCCGCCGCCTATTAATTCAGTTTAACTTAGTCAATTTTGGTGAATATCAGTGCTCATGTGTTAACACAGTGAATTCTGTGCCAATTAAGTCGAGTAACGTAGAGATTTAGATATTGTCTGAACCGTTGCCAGGCGTATGTTTTGTATAGTTGAAGTTAGACCTTTACGCATTCGTGACTTCCTCAACGTCTCTCCAGTGTGTTGAGCTGAATACTCATCGGCTAACGTGGGGCGGTAACCGGGTTGGACGATGCCGTTGATTCGACAGGACTGAACTGGGAAGTCCGTTTCCTGCAAATCAGGCGCCCACTCCCTGAGCGTGTGTCGGTCTACAACCGACCCCTAACAGCGATCTTCATTTGTTGTAGAGACCAGTGTTACCCTGGGGCACTCCTCACAGTCACATAGGCCTAAGTATTATGGTACCTTGTTTGGGGGATAACTAGCAGAAATATAGTATCCCAGGTTAAGTATTGAACCAATGAATGAGAGTTAAAAGTGCCATGTTGTTCCTTGTGAATTAACAGGAGGTATTGTATGTTGAGATAATTGTGGAGTTGTCCAGTGTGTTATGTATTCACTGGTAGTGACCATGAAATGATAATCTGAGAGTATAATGATATAACCAAGAAGTGAAGAGTTAATTTGCTACTTGGTAAGGTAAGACCTGTGGGTCCAGTGATATCTGGTGTATACCCAGTACTAAATATCATTTGGCAGAGTGACAATACCACAATTGTCGATTGAAGTAATAAGTATGTGGAGGTATTTAATGAGGTAATAAGTTCTTGAAGTGTTTGATGACTTAAGAAACAAATTGCAGTTCTGTTTTGTCTGAGTGAATCTAAGATGCATCTTATCCAATCACTGTGTTAATAAATATTGAATTGGTAATCTACGTCTACGAGTATCACCACTCTATCCTTTCCCACATTGGTTCTCAGAAAATAACTAACTCACGTGCCTAGAAGCTCGCTACCTAACAGTTAACTAAGAGATGTTATATTCTAGAAAATCCTGGGTGGTGGCAGGCTACCGTTGTAAGTATAATAAGTGTGGTAATAACAAAGACATGGTTTCCCAGGTTAATCCATGGTTTAGAATATAACTAGAACAAAATATATGGATGAGATCATAATATATGACAGGAAATGAAAAGAAAGAACATTGACTTGGAAAATATAAGCAGAGAAGCATAAGAGTTACTTATATTAGAATATATAAGAATATAAGGTATATAGAGATAAAGAACATATAAGAATATAAGCAAGAATATATAAAGTAAGTATGTGTGTTAGGAACTGAAGAAGGTTAAGTATATAAAACCGGATACTCATTGAAAAGAATAACTGGATGGTAAATTATTGAAAAGAGGAAACTCGGCCCGTTACAAATGGTGACCAGCTAGTGGGATTATTTTCATTTGAGAACCAATTTGAAGGAATGAGGTGTGGTACTTTGGTGAAATTGTTTTCTCAAAATACAGTATACAGTAATGTACAATTTTGTCATCAGTA